GTGATCAAGTTTCAATAAAATTATAATTATCATACTTTCCCTCTAAATCTTCCACGCGCAAACTCTAGAAAACCTCTCATAATCCATTTTGGAAAATCAGTTGAATTTTTGTTTTAGTCTGTTCACCCCCCTCTAGACTGTTTTCTTACGCCATATTCTCACTCAACAATATACACGTGCTTCTAATACAGGGCATTATACATGTAGTACTCACTAAAATAAAAGGGCCTACATGTCTACTTCTACAGAAAGACGTTCTTCTCATTTTTCGACTATTTGCTCCAGCCGTATTTCCTCTCATGATATAGTCAAATGACGGGTTGAAGTGCTCCACTTGCTGCAAAGCATTCTCAAATGATTGTGAAATTGCCTTAATGGTGGCACTCGTATAGTCAACCAATTGCCGAGTCAGTAAAGCATTTTGAGGGTGCAAAGACTCAAATTCTCTCTAAGAAGATGTTAAACTGCCCCAAACATAAGTCAAAGTTTGGTCCTTCTTTGCCATGGTCTTTACTAGGTGAGTCACATAGTCATAAAGAGAACCGACAAGATTTAGAGGAAGTAAAGAATTCTCCATCTCAGTGAGAGAGTTACATTTTTTCTCTACTTCACATAGATATATGTCCCATTGAAGCATCACTTCATAATGTTCTCCTCCACTCAGTATAATGCTAGTCAAACTAGAAAACTTCCAAGTGACTAGATCCACCAAGGGTCAAAGGAGCAGAAGCACGTCGAGTATACCGAGCTAGAGAAACCAATTATTCCTTCAGAACATGCCCAAAAAATAGCCAAGTAAGAGCAGTCATCGTCCAAAGGAGGAGGTCATCGACCTCCAGTAGAACGAGATCTAGATCTCGTTAGTAATGGGAAAAGAGTAAAACCCGAGATATTCGGTAAAGGAGTTAAAGTCTCAACAACCATATTACTTCCGAGAAGTTGTATTCTCCTCTTTAGAAGCCATAGTTGCACTTCATCATCCATGTAATCTCCATATGATTATGCAAAAAGCAAATACATAAGGAATAAACAAACTAAAAATAAAAGCTCGAAGGTTTAAGAACTCACAAAAGTTGATTTTTATTTCATCCTGAGCGCAAGCTCCTATCAGTAACCACACGTTAATAAGATGATGTCGGCGTCTCTATTTGACCTCCTCCATGGGAATACCTCCACCAAAGTATTATCCTAAATTAATGATAAACTTTACTAGTCGGGCCTTCTGGTACTGATCTTCATCAGAAAGATCCTCGTCCCTATATAAATAAAGGTTATTCCCCATCAGAAAATAACTTTTAGTCAAATACCTTGAGAACAAATTAGCACACATGCCTCCCACTGGCATCACAAAATGCAATATGAGCTTCAGGGTCGATAGGGGTTACTAGAAAGAACTAGTCCTTAAAAGACTATAGCTCCGAAGGGGGTCCAAAGCCACTCACAATTGGATCCAATTGTAAAAACCCTTTGTTAGGCCAACGACAACATGACTACAACGACATTTAAAGAGATGAAAGAAAAAGGGCGATAAAGGGCTTTCCTTTCAGGTAGTCACACCAATACTGATAGAACTTCACACATGCCCACTTTGTAGGATGAAGTTGTGAATGCGCCATTGTTAGGTGCTCTAAAACTTCTACCTCAAAGACAGTAAAAGGGATACAAAGATCTAAGAAAAAAGTACACTCATAAAAAAGGATGGAACAATCACTATACTGGCTGCATATTTTTTTGTCCTCATCATGACTCAAGATTTCCCAGTGGGAAGGTGAGCCAACTTCTGTGAAGGCATCATTAAGAAGGTAATTCTTAGGCTTCAGAAAATGATTTAAGAGAAATGACAATGACCCTTAAAATAAAATTATATTCTAACAAGCAAATAGACTTCACCAAACACATTTAATCACTTGCACATAACACTCAAGTATTCCAATTCCCTCAAGAGTCGACGATCCCCTTACTCCACTGAATTAGAAGCTGTGATCTGTCATCATCGTCACTCCTCATCTCATTTTTTGTTACTGAACGGAACAAAAATATAAGAAAACTTAAGTGCACTCATATACACTATAAAAACACCATGCCCTAACTAGTACCTCTATCCATGCGCGAGAAAGGAGAAACAAAACATTTCAATGATGGAAATATATTTAATGCACTTATCCCCCACTACTTTTTAAATCGTCTCTAAGCATTTCCACTTTTGTTTCTAAGCGAACGACATCCTCAAAGGCTGACCACGACTGCTAAGACTTCCTCGACTCAGTTTCGCACGACAAACATTGAGGGAAACTATTTTGAGCAAACCAAATGACCAAAAAGCTAAGGCTCAAACTGACGTCAACCAGTCCAATGACCCAAGGTATAAAAGTCATTACACGATATATCTAATATATACTTTTTGATCTTCACTTTTTACTACATTCTTATAGAACTCTGAACCGACTTGAGCATTATGGTGCTATCTTTGCATGTCCATCCCGCGCCACCATATTAGATATCTACACTACAGATTCAAAATTCCTCACCATCAACATACACATAATTCTGATTCTAGGACGAACCAAAGAGTATAAACGAGATTGATAATAAATTTAACTAACTTTTATATTATTTTGAAATAAATAATAAATTTAATTTAAAAAATAAACCATTATTCTCTTATTAACTTAGTTTCTAAATTATTACAAATTAAAAAGTCTTTAAACTATCTTCTATTTCCATTATTTAGTCTTTTGATTTAACTTTCAAATCATTAAAATTTAAATAATAGAATAAATATAATTTTTTTAAACTTGATTTTAATCATTTAAAAAGTAAATTGATGAAAGTTTGATAATTTATAGAAAAAATAAATCAACTCATTACACCTTGTAACTAAAAAACACAAGGTAAGTAACGCCTCCGTTTTCAAATATCACGCGCTTTGTTCTTGTTGTAATCCACCAACAATGAACCCAAACATTCATTATTAAATTCTCAAGAGCGGGAAATGACGTGGCAAATGAAAACCCAAAGAATAAAATCGAAGGTACGCGACACGTGCGAGACGAGCGGTGAGATTGCAAAAGAACGAAAGCGAGTGGATTGGTAAACGAAAGGAATCGAGTGCGTTTGTAAACCCTAGGCACCATCTCACGCTCATGCTCCTCGCGTGAGTTTGTAATTTCTTGTTCGAATTTTCTTTCTGTTTGTTTGTTTCAGATCATCATCATCATCATCATCAACAACATCACCTTCAGTTTTTATTGGTACCTTCAAATTCAATTTTTTTGTCGCTATAATTTTTATTTTTATTTTTTCTATTTAGATTTGTTTAATTTAATTGTTTTGGATAATTGATTATTATTAGCTTGTTATAACTTGGATTATGCATAATGGAGTTTAGTTTGGTTGATTCTGGATTTGAAACTAATTGTTTTATATGAGTTAGTTAGTTATGTAGTACTACTGTATGAGGAGGTAGTGTGTTTCATCTTTGAACTTGTTGATGAGTTTAGGTGGTTAGATTGAAAAGTGTATTGGTTGGTTTTTACTTTTTAGCTATGAAACACGTACACTTCAAACACGACACCGACACTTATACTGCGGTACGAGTGATAATTTAAGAAATTAATAAATTAAATGTAGTCACAAGGGTCTGTGAGGTGTCGCAGACACATATTTTTTCAGAGGTGTCAATGCTACGTAGTTTTTTAGAGAGTGAATTTTATGTAATTAGGGAGACGATGTGATTTTGTGGATGTTTTGAAGTGTAGCTTTTGATAGAATTGTGGTGTTGTAGATTGTAATCCAAACACATTCTTAGTGATGTTTTGTTTTATGTTTGATTTGATAGGGTTTTGAAATGGGAAATGGATAGAAGCATGGTTCAGGATGGAACAACATTATGGTTTAGGATAGAACATTATGACTAAAGTTGATCGTGTAGCCGATCCCACTTAGTGGGATAAGGCTGGGTTGTTGTTGTTCTTTTTGAGATGGAGTTGGCGTGTGTGGATGAGTTTTTATGTGGTTTAAGATGACAGAGCTGTGTTTTGTGTTTGAAATTTTAATTTTTTGGTTTTGAATTGAATTTTAGAGGTAGGTTTGTTATTTTTTTTTGTGTGGTTTGTGTTTGTTTGTTTGTTTGATTAAGGAAACAGGCTGAACCGTATTGGCAATGGGGCTCTTTTGCATTTAATTTGGAATGAGTTCTTTATTTCGTCTTAAATAATTGTTAGTATTTGTTTATTTGTTTCTATGATGTATTTGACTATGCTTTAATGATCTGCTATGCTTTAATGTATCTACTATGCACATATATGAGTATTTGTTTATATGATAACAGACTATGCTTTCAAGTATTTGTTTATCTGTTAGATGCGTTTCTTATGTAACCGACTCTGTTCCCTATATAAGTAAAAAACTCAGCATACAATTTTCATTTTCAGTTTTTTGTTTTATCTCAATCTTTTTCCCTCATTTTTAAACCCTAGATCCAAATTTTATTAATTATGTTGGAACTAATGCCATTATGGGCCAAGCTTAGTCTTTTTCTTGGACACATACCCAATGTTGTTGCTATTACATTACATTCTATTGGAGTCGTGTTTTTCCTTGGAATGTCTTGTCCTATAAGTAAATTGGTACACACTTATATAGAACAATTTGATTTAATGCTGTTAAAGTTTTAGGTTAAACTGTTGCATTTGTATATTTCTTTCTCCAAAGTATTTTATTTTCTATCTTTGTTTATTATTGTACAAGCTGGCAATGTAACTGAAGACAATAATGTCACACTCTAGCACCTTGTTTTTACTGTCCATCTCTTTTTGCCCTTGTATGTTACATCACAGAAAATTTTCAAATATTTCAAGATGAAACCCCGCATTCTTTAAAAGTTCTTGAAGTTTTTCATAGATATAACTCGCTTCTAGTCAATTTTAGCGCAAGTGAGTTGCGTTAATCAAACTCATGACTACCAAATCAAATGACAACAAACTGAATTGTTGGCACTAATGCTTCCCTTCTATCTCTATGATATTAATCAATATTTTTTTCATCTAATGGTATTTAACTTAAAAAATGTAATGTGATAGGTTTGGAATTTATAAAATTGTTTTGGAAATGTCATTTCTATTCTAACTCTAAGGCTGTTTCTAGATGTAGAATACACTCGCATTGTCTAAATAATCATTCTTGGCATGACTTCTTGCATATCTAAATACTAAATAGGGTTTCTCAACCATGCTACATACGTACATCATGTTGTAGGATCAAGTTATGGTTTCCCCCTCATAGAGTAAACTGCTTTTGTGAGGATAAATAATTTTCCTATGGGAAATAAAGCAAAAAAAAAATGAATTGCCCTACAGAAGGCTTGAATATAACCTGGGACTATAGTAGTATTCATTGTGAATCTGTTTTTCAGATTCCTAACTTAACATTGGGGGGGTATTTCCTGGCTTAGCAGGTCTTTGGGAATCGAAGGGCTTAAAGTCTTTCATTGGAACATCCGTACTCCATATGATCGACACAAATGAGTTTTCACGGAGCCTTAGGTTGAACATATCTCTTTCTCCTAATGTTTGTGTATGTAATCTGCTAATACTGAGGCCAGTAAATGTCCTTTTCTACCTAACTAAGCCTTGACTTAAGTTACATTGTGTAAATTTTTATACTTTTGTCCAGTTAGTCTGGAAGTTGTCAGGACAACTAACTATTGAAGCTTTGAGAAGAGTAATGAGGGAAAGAGTTGGATCTAATACTCTAATTTCCTTTATGCATTCTGCTAATGGCTTAATACCGTTTTTCATTGTAAATGAAAAGCCATTAAGTTGTGTCTTCCGTAGTGTCATTGTTAGATCCAAGACGCCTAAGTTGTTTGACTTGTGGAACGATCTCCAATTTTTTTACCTTCAAGCTGGTGCTAGCATGTGTCTTGTTGAATTTACTTGCCATGCAAGAAATGTTTCTATAGAAGTTCATGTCTTAAACATTAGGAAAGGGTGAAACAGAAGTACTCTAGATCTAGGTTCAGGATTTTTAAAACAACTACCCCTGGAATAGTCTTCTGTATGACTATGTCCAGTCCAAGCTGGCTGTTGCTATTTGGTGCATTTGGTTGGAGTGTGACATAATTTTAAGAATTCTTGTTTGTTTCAGCAGTTAAATTGAGATAAATTTAGGTCATTAGCAGGTATTTGATGTAAAAAATACGGTCTTTTTTAAGGGTTTCCTTAGAATATGCAGAGTTAGTGGCTTTGATCTGTTTGCATCTTTTGTTATTTTCTTGTTAATTTTCCATTTTCTCATTTTGTAGGGTCCCTTATCCTTCAATTAGGAGATTAACCATCAACTTTTTGCTTTGATGCAAATGCAATTCATGACTTGCTGAAAAAAGCATCATGGTTTATGTGGGCAGCCTTTATTTGCTGTATTTTAGGCCCAATTTGGAGGATTTGGGCCATTTCTATAAATTTCCTTCCACTTCCTCCAAATTAGGAACATTGATTAATGTTTGATGTTGCAAATTTTGTACAAATGCTTAGTAGTTAGTGTTTATGATTGTCAGATGGCTGTCATTTCTCTTAAACATGAGTTAACTACTTGATGCATTAGCACTAGCTGAATTACAAATATTCAAAGATGCTCACTACCCTTTGTGTTCTCTTATTTATACACATACTCTTTATAACAACCTCAACTAACTGACTGACTTCTATAACAACTCTAACTACTTCAACTACTTTAATATAATTTATTCTATATCCTAACAGCATACATTATGTGGAACTGATTTACTTGATGGCTTGACATAATTTCTGTTCTTTATAATTTTCAGTACCCTTTAAATCATCAAAGCAAGTTGTTCTCATAATGGATATAGATCTCAGGTTACCCTCTGGTGAACATGATAAAGAGGAAGAAGAAACAACTACACTTGATAACATGTTGGAAGGTGACGAAAAATTGCACAATGGAGGTTTAGACAGAAGGCATATTGTTGATGCTGGCATTGAAGTACATGCTCTAAATGGTGGAGATTTGAATTCCCCCACAGTTGATATGATGTTTAAGGAAGATACAAATCTTGAGCCACTTTCTGGCATGGAATTCGAATCCCATGGGGAAGCATATTCTTTCTACCAAGAATATGCTCGGTCAATGGGATTCAACACTGCAATACAAAATAGCCGTCGTTCAAAAACATCAAGAGAATTTATAGATGCAAAGTTTGCTTGTTCCAGATATGGAACAAAACGAGAGTATGACAAATCCTTCAATCGACCACGAGCACGACAGAACAAGCAAGAGTCTGAAAATTCAACTGGTCGAAGATCTTGTTCTAAAACTGATTGTAAAGCAAGCATGCATGTTAAAAGAAGGTCAGATGGGAAATGGGTTATACATAGTTTTGTAAAGGAGCATAATCACGAGCTCTTACCAGCCCAGGCTGTAAGTGAACAAACACGAAGAATGTATGCTGTGATGGCCAGGCAATTTGCAGAATACAAAACTGTAGTTGGTATCAAGAATGAAAAGAACCCATTTGAAAAAGGACGGAATTTGGGTCTGGAGTTTGGGGAGGCTAAACTTATGCTTGATTTTTTTATTCAGATGCAAAATATGAATTCTAACTTCTTCTACGCAGTAGATATCGGTGAGGATCAACGTCTGAAAAGTCTTCTATGGATTGATGCTAAAAGTAGGTATGACTACATCAACTTCTGTGATGTAGTGTCATTTGATACCACATATGTTAGAAACAAATATAAGATGCCTCTTGTGCTTTTTGTTGGGGTGAACCAGCACTACCAATTTATATTACTTGGGTGTGCCTTGATATCAGATGAAAGTGCCACGACTTTTTCTTGGCTATTACGGACGTGGCTGAAAGGTGTTGGTGGTCAAGTTCCAAAAGTGATAATTACTGACCATGACATGACTTTGAAGTCAGTTATTTCAGATATTTTTCCTAGTGCTTGCCATTGTGTTTTCTTATGGCATATAATGGGGAAGATATCTGAAAATTTAGCTCCTGTAATTAAAAAACATGAGAATTTTATGGCAAAATTTGAAAAGTGCATATTTAGGTCATTGACGAGTGATGATTTTGACAATAGATGGGAGAAAATTTTGGATAGATTTGAGCTTCGACAAGATGAATGCATGCTGTCTTTATACGAAGATCGTAAGTTATGGGCACCAACATTCATGAAAGATGTGTTCTTAGGGGCTATGTCTACTGCCCATCGATCTGAAAGTGTAAATTCATTCTTTGACAAATATGTTCATCGGAAGACCTATGTGCAAGATTTTATTAAACAGTATGAATCCATCTTGCAAGACAGGTATGAAGAGGAAGCAAAGGCAGATTCTGATACTTGGAATAAAGTGGCAACATTAAAAACTCCTTCACCTTTAGAAAAGACTGTTGCAGGGAGTTGCACACATACAGTATTCAAGAAGATTCAAGCGGAGATTATTGGTGCAGTGGCTTGTCATCCTAAAGTTGAAAGGCAGGATGAGACAACCGTTGTTCATAGGGTGCATGATATGGAAACCAACAAAGACTTTTTTGTTGTGGTGAATGAAGTAAAGTTAGAGCTGTCTTGTATATGTCGGCTATTTGAATATAAAGGTTATCTTTGTCGACATGCATTGGTGGTTCTTCAATATTCTGGCCAGTCAGTGTTCCCAAATAAATATATTTTGAGACGGTGGTCAAAAGATGCAAAGGCCAGGAATGTAATGGATGAAGAATCTGAACTTATGCTGGCTAGGGTTCAACGATACAATGATTTATGTCATCGATCACTAAAACTGAGTGAAGAAGGATCATTGTCTCAAGATAGTTATAGTATTGCATTCCATGCAATAAATGAGGCACACAAAAGTTGTGTTAGTGTTAACAATTGTAATAAGAGTCCTACAGAAGCTGGTACATCAGGGGCTCATGGTCAGCTTTCCATTGAAGAAGACACCCAAAGTAGAAATATGGGAAAGTCAAACAAAAAGAAGAATCCAACCAAAAAGAAAAAGGTTTGTTGTTTCTATAAAGTTGACTTCAACACTTAATCTCTCTCTCTCTCTCATGACCTCATGACCTCCTTGTTGGATTGCAGGTGAACTCGGAAGCAGAGGTAATGACTGTCGGGGCACTAGACAACTTGCAACAAATGGTTTGTACTCCTACACTACTATAGTGTGTTTGATGGTATTTTAGGGATAAAAAACTTGTAGATTAAACACAGGCTTCGTTGTTGTTATTGTTAGTCCACATCTATTAATTTAAAAGGGACTTCTTTTGCAGGACAAATTCAACACCAGAGCTGCAGTAACCCTTGAAGGTTATTATGGCACACAACAGAGTGTTCAGGGAATGGTATGATAATTATTTGCTTAATCCTGTAGTTCTAATATATATTATCATGTCAATGAATGAACTCATAATTTTCATATCTTACTGTTTAGTTGAACTTAATGGGACCAACACGTGAAGATTACTACGGGAATCAACAGACTCTTCAAGGACTGGTGTGTAAAAGACTGATTAGTTTTTCTTAAATATTTTCTGACTTGCAATAATACAGAATCTGTTTCGTATGCAGGGACCAATAAATTCCATGCCAACCAGCCACGATGGTTATTATGGTGCACATCAAGGCATGCCGGGTTTGGTATGGTTCAGAAATAATACTAAAGATGATTTTCTATCCCTTGTAATATTTGATGAATGCTTATACAGTCAAAACTTGCAGGCACAACTGGATTTTTTGCGAACTAGTTTCACATATAATATGAGGGTTAGTATGGCAATTCAAAGTTCTTGCATAGTAGTATTACTTTCAAGTGAACCACCATTTTAATCTGGGAAATTGTTGGGGTTGAACAATTTACTCATTGAAATTATAACAAAATTCTAAAATGATATCTCAGACACAAATCTTTTGGTCTCTGAAATTGTCCCAAAAGATTTGTGTCTGAGATATTTCAAATCAAGGACCATCTTTAACTTTTGTTGATTTCAGGGACAAATCTGCTTGATCTCTACAATCTCATAAACTAAATTGGCGATTTACTCATTACTAATTTTTTCTTCTTCTGAAGATTATTCATGTAGTAATGTGGCTTCTTCATTATGGCAGGATGATCCTAATGTGAGAGCAGCACAGTTACACGAGGATCCATCAAGACACGCGTGAGTGCTCGCTCATCTGGTGTAGAGAATGGAATGCCTCAAACCTCAACTGAGATTACAACAGCAACCAAGCCTTATCCCATTTGATTACGACAACAACCAAGCCTTATCTCCACGTTGAGTATTTGTAATATAATGCTTTTATATTAATAAATATAGGATAAGTTCTGCTAACTTGTATTATAATATTTCATATTTTTAGTATTATTAGTATAGGTGGGGTAAGGCTTCAGAGTTCAAGCTCATGTAGAGATTGTTGTATTATTATATAAACTTGTTATTCTTTAGGCTACTTGGGGAAATTGTAAGTATAAAATGTTAATGTTAGTGATGTGAGTATTTGCATGCTTTTATGTGCAAAGGAGAGTGAAACCATCTCCTTCATCTATAATTTTATTTCTCCCTTCATTTTGTTCATTGGTGTTTTGTTGTATTTGTTATATTAATTACTTAGCTTTCTATTTTTAACTTCTCACTGCAAGGAAAAGCAATACATTCTCTTGTTGCACAATGTTTCCTTATCAGCATAGCATAGTTGAAATAATCCTGAGTACGACTGAATTTGTTATATCTAACCATTTTAAAAAGATATAAACACTCGTAATTTGATGCTTCAGGTAGACTGTAATTTTAGAGTGGACTTGTAAGAGGTATCTGTCAATAATTATACTATGTTTCAAATTTTAGAGAATCAGTGCAGTGCCTATGTGTATACATATACTTTGACATATGATTAGTCACTCTTCATTGCTTGTGTTTGGAACTTAAGGGAGAACTTCGAAATGCAAGTCATACTTAGAGTTTTGTT